TGGACTTTGCACGATCACGTAATTGTAGCTTCATAATTGTAATCGTGATTAGAAATTCGATTAATTGTGCAGCTCTACTTTGGCATCAGTGGGTTATGTATCGCTGCCAAAAAAAGTATCCTGTTTTCCAGCAGAAATAGATAAACATTCTAAATCCAACATAAAATCAAAATTGCATAAAAATATAAAGTCTTGTTTTCTGAAAAATGTATCAAATAAGAACAAATGTGTCACTGGGGTCAAAATCAACTTAATTCAAAGCATAAACTCACTTCATTTTGATGCATTTTTTAGACCGCAAGACTTTATATCTTATGTCATTTTGCTTTTTAGATAAATGTATTTGTTTTAAGAATGTTTAGGTATTTGTATTAGACACCAAGCAAGAAAATAGCTATTTTCAGTGTTTAAAGGAATAGTTCAATTAAAAATGATAATTCTGTCGTCATTTAGTCGCTCTCATTTTGTTCCAAACCAGTATGAACACAAAAGAAGATATTTTGAAGAACCAAATAATGTTGGTTCCCATTGACTTCCATTGTATTTTTTTGTTTTTGTCCGTACACTGCAAAAACTGCAGTTTATCCTCATTGTTTTCCAGCACAAATATCTAAACCTTCTTAAGTCAAGACGCATTTATTGGAGATGCAATACTACGAGACATTAAGTCTTGTTTTCTGAGAAGCGCATTCAAATTGAGTGAGTTTTTGCTGAAAACAAGAACAAATGCCTGCTAATTGGTCAGAAAAAAAAACTTGCATTCACTTTGAAGTTTCTTTTTCAGACTCTATTGGCGAATACGTGTCCCTGCAGCACAAAAGCAGTGTTAAGTCGCTGGGGGATATTTGTAGCAATAGCCAACAATACATTGTATGGGTCACAATTATACATTTCTCTTTTATGCCAAAAATCATTAGGATATTAAGTAAAGATCATGTTCCGTGAAGATATTTAGTAAATCTCCTACCGTAAATATATCAAAACTTAATGTTTGATTAGTAATATGCATTGCTAAGAACTTCATTTGAACAACTTTAAAGATGATTTTCTCAATATTTAGATTTTTTTGCACCCTCAGATTCCAGATTTTCAAATATTGTCCGATCCTAACAAACCATACATCAATGGAAAGATTATTTATTCAGCTTTCAGATTATGTATACATCTAAATAAAAAAAGACCCTTATGCCTGGTTTTGTGCTCCAGGGTCGCATATTTGTTCTCGCTTAAAATTTGGATATATTTTTCAGAAAACAAGACTTAATATCTTAAGTTATTTTGCTTTTTTAAATACATTAATGTTAAGATTTTTGAACTGAAAAATGAATTCGAGACATTTTTTGTACTCTATATTTTTGTAGTGTTTATAAGTGTTCAAAACATTCTTCAAAATATCACGGAAGAAAAAGTCACACAGGTTTGGAAGCAGATCATTTTTTGGGTGCACTGTTCCGTTAGGAGGCAGAAATGACAGGGTAGTGATTGATTGTGCAGTTCTGTCCTCAATGAGATCTTGCATTGCTGTCGTTGATGTTAAACATGATCTGATGTCTCGTGCTCAGGCCTCTGGGCTTCAGTTCCGTCACACGGACAACATCAACCACTGGAGGAGCGCCATGATGGAGGTCGGCCTGCCGACGGTAAACCACACTCTTCTGCTTGCGTTTTATCCCATGATGCCTCTGCAATCGCTCTACAGCACCAACATGAACTCTAATGAGTACAGATGTAACGATTAACCGCGAGTCGGTTGAAAATTGATTTAAATATGTGACAATTCAAATCGTTTGAGATGCTAAACAAATCACGATTCAGTTAGGGTTAGGAGTTTATATGAATGTATGTCTGAGGGGAACTTGCTGTGTTTCGATGGTATTTTTTATTTTCCTCTTGCCTCTGTATAACGCAT